GTTTATACATTTTTTGGAACAAAGTTTTTTCTTCCATAGGAGGACATGTCAAAGGTGGGACCTCTGTTCTGCTCTGTTCTGGATATACATTTGGACTCCAATCACTGGATTCTACAGTTTGGCTTGGTGGTCTTCTGGTGTTCTACAAAACAGCGTCGGTGGCTTTTCATTTCCTGGCTGCCTGACCAATATGAAGGATTGCCGTTCCATCAGCACTTAGACTTTAGCCTTGAGCGAGCTGGACTCGGTCTGCAAGCGGTTCTGCTGAGGGTCATGGGCCGGCTGTGGTTCCTGGACTTTGCTKGCCAGATGGAATTGATCTTGGTGAAGCTGTGAGCTCGGCTCGGCGGAATTTGTCTACATTATTTGTCTGATTGGATTCAACACATTGGATGTACCAGCGGACATGAAGGCAGATGGAAAATTGTTATTGTCTGCCTGACCAAAAACATTTTCTTCTGTTCCCAAACAACTGATAACAGATTTGGCTTTCCCCTACATGGCCTTGAAGGCTGTGGATCTTGACTTGAGGCCAATTTTCATTTTAGCTTAATAAAAATGTATATATATATATATATATTTTCCACATAAATAAACAAACTGCCTGAACCTTCACTGACCCAACAGAGGAAATGAAACTCGTGTCTTCCTGACTCTACCTGTACGTGTTGGCCACGGCCTGCTCCTCGTAGCTCAGGTTTGGTTTGGATTCGATCATCTCGTAGTCCAGCAGCTTGTCCAGTCTCTTCTTGATCAGGTTCCTCGGGCCCACCAGGAGGTCACGGAGCATGCACAGAGGCTTGTGGATCAACGTCTTCACCCTTTTTTCCTAAAAAAAAAAGTGTGTGTGTGTGGGGGGGGGGGGTAAAATGTCACCTTTAACTTGTTTTCTTTCTGTGGTGGAAAAACACTCGAGTAAAACCAGTGAAACTTACAAACGTTGGAAGGATCCACAGTCGGAGCGCAGTGGTGATCTCTTTGTAGCAAATGGGGGTCTTCTCTCCGTCCATTTCAAAGTCAAACTCTTCTGTTTTGCACGCGAGGAACCTCTGCAGACAAAACCATTAAGTCTCTGTGCAGACCCTGGATTCACTCATCAAATGCTACTTTAGAGAACATTTATTTACGAAGGTGTCGAGACAACAAGGCCTCTTTTTTAAGGAAGGAAAAGCCAAGACAGGAACAGTTACTCAAAGTTTAACATAAACACTAAGGAGAGGATAAAACTGAAGGAAAAAGCAGAAAAGTTGTGGAAAAAAAAAAACAAAAACCTGGAAACAGAAACCATACTGAAGGTTAAATTTAGAGCTGAGCGGTCTTTAACCTCAAAAACAACTTCCTGAGTTTACACACAGTGACTCAAATATAAAACAATCAATAAACAAATATCCCTTTTACTCAACTTGTCCAGAAGCTTAAAAGGAAAGTTCCAGCGTGTGCACTGGCTGGTTAAATATGTCAATGTCAACTTTATTTATAAAGCACTTAAAAAAAGTAGTCAACTGCACCAAGGTGATGTACTTGAAGTTGTTTCCAGTGGCTCTAATCTTCTTTTGTACACTTGTAAGAAAATGTTTGAAAAAAAACACTAATGAATAAATATTGTGAAGAAAAAGTTATAAAGACTGACGAAGAGCAGTGTGGTTTTCGTCCTGGTCGTGGAACACTGGACCAGCTCTACACCCTCAGCAGGGTCCTGGAGGGTGCATGGGAGTTCGCCCAACCGGTCTACATGTGTTTTGTGGACTTGGAGAAGGCGTTCGACCGTGTCCCAAGGGGGGCCTTGTGGGGGGTTCTCCAGGAGTATGGGGTACCGGGCCCTTTGATACGGGCTGTCAGGTCCTTGTACGACCGGTGTCAGAGTCTGGTTCGCATTGCTGGCAGTAAGTCGGGCTCGTTTCCGGTGAGAGTTGGACTCCACCAAGGCTGCCCTTTGTCACAGATTCTGTTCATTACTTTCATGGACAGAATTTCTAGGCGCAGCCGAGGTGTTGAGGGGATCCGTTTTGGTGGTCTTAGGATCGCATCTCTGCTTTTTATGGATGATGTGGGCCTGTTGGCTTCATCGGAACGAGATCTGCAGCTCTCGCTGGAGCGGTTCGCGGCCGAGTGCGAAGCGGCCGGGATGAGGCTCAGTGCCTCCAAATCCGAGGCCATGGTCTTGAGCCGGAAAAGGGYAGAGTGCCTTCTCCGGGTCAGGGGGGTCGCCCTGTCTCAAGTGGAGGAGTTTAAGTATCTGGGGATCTTGTTCACGAATGGGGGAAGAACGGAGCGGGAGATCGACAGGCGGATTGGCGCAGCGTCTGCTGTAAAGCGGGCGCTGTACCGGTCCGTCGTGGTGAAGAGAGAGCTGAGTCAGAAAGCGAAGCTCTCGATTTACCGGTCGATCTACGTTCCTACCCTCATCTATGGTCATGAGCTTTGGGTCATGACCGAAAGAACGAGGTCCCGGATACAAGCGGCCTAAAGGGGTTTCCTCCGCAGGGTGGCTGGGCTCTCCCTTAGAGATAGGGTGAGAAGCTCGGTCATCTGGGAGGGACTCAGTAGAGCCGCTGCTCCTCCACGTCGAGAGGCGCCAGTTGAGGTGGTTCGGGCATCTGGTAAGGATGCCTCCTGGACGCCTCCCTGGTGAGGTGTTCCGGGCACGTCCCACCGGGAGGAGGCCCCGAGGAAGACCCAGGACACGCTGGAGGGACTATGTCTCTCGGCTGGCCTGGGAACGCCTTGGAGTTCCCCCGGAGGAGCTGGAAGAAGTGGCTGGGGAGAGGGAGGTCTGGGCCTCCCTTCTGAAGCAGCTGCCCCCGCGACCCGACCCCGGATAGGCGGAAGAAAATGGATGGATGGATGGATGGATGAAGAAAAAGACATGTTTTAAATAAAAATTACTTAATCTTTGACAGATTATAAAGACGTCTGCTTTAAAACCAGCAGCAGGGAAAAAGACAAAGCCGTCTGGAAGAAGATAAGTAGATTACGTGTTGGAATCTGATGAGGCTGCAGGCTGACCACAAACAAAGAAATACGTGTTTCACATTCAGCTCCACTCTGCAGTTAAAGGTCCTGATCGAGAACAAACCAGCATTATGTCTACGACCCACCCCAGGGAGGGCGGACCGCCTCCTCGGCATCATAAACATCTTTATCCTCAAAAAAATCTAACGTTACAAAACACTTCTCTGGAGTTCAAACTGTGATGTTCTGACACACCCGCAGGTGGAGCAGGTACTCCTCCACGTTCTCCAGAAGAACCAGGATCCCGTTCTCCAGGATGTTAAAGAAACCTTCAAAGGCGTCGAACTCCTCGTCTACGAGCTGCAAGAGATACAGATGATAAAAACCTGCAGGCACCGGCTGTAATCCTGCATGCTCAGACACTCATTTAAGATGAAGATCAAATTTTTAGCAGGATAATTACATTTCTGTCAACTTTGTTTATTTACTTACTGGATGCTAATAAATAGATAATAAATAAAATGATCTCTTAAGACTTAAAGTATCTGTGACAGGCATAAGGTCAAAAGAAACACTTTTATAATTAAGAAACTTGACATAACACAAGATTTTGTCATGAAACTGGTATATTTTCATTTGAAATTGGAAAGTGAAACAGGAAGTGACATCAAAGGGGAACTCTAAAAAATAAACCATGGTCTTTTATTAAAACAATATTATTTGACTTCATCTCTAGGGGTGTAAGAAAATATCGATACACTGAAATATCGCGATATTTCATTTCCCGATACTGTATCGATATTCTAAAGCCCTGTATCGATTTTTTATTAAGGTTTAAATTGTCAACCTTCTCTCCAACCGTTCATTTTTATGTTGTAGTTCAGCCTCTGACCACTAGTTGGCAGCAGGGAGCCAGCCATTTGGATCCTCTACCTCTTGAGCGCCAGAGAGTAAGGGTAGCATTAGCATTGTAGGAGACAATGTAAGCATTGTAAGTAAATATTAGCTTTTCTTTTTTTTTCAGTAAGAGGTTTTTATTTAATAGAATTTTTGGACAAAAAAAAATCGCAATATGTCAACATATTGCCTTGCTTACAGTATCGCAATATATCGGGATATATCGTATCTTGACCCCTCTGTTATGATATGTATCGTATCGCCAAATTCTTGCCAATACACAGCCCTATTCATCTCTATGATAGAGACTCAAAATAATCTAAATTAACATCAGATTCTTCTCTACTATTGTCAACTGTTGCAGCAACACTCTGTTTACATGCAGACATTCCTCTATGACATCACTTCCTGTTTCTTCACATGCGAATATCTCAACAAGCGTTTATCTTGATGTTGTGAAATTTATTTTGAGACATGTTCTGAATGTCATCTCTCAAAAAAATGCATTCATATTTATAACGAAAACGGGATGTCACAGGCGCTTTAAGCTTCCATGTAACCTGGACTTTAATGTAACTTTGTTTTATATTTGATCTATAATAAATATTTATACGTAATGAAGGTAAAGGGAGTGTAGCAGAGTAAAAAGCTGCTCTAATAAGTCACATCTTTGTCCTGTTAACGGTTAAAGATCAGGGAAGTGATCAGTGAGGGCTGTTAGCCCTGTTAGCCAACACTAGCTTCGTTTCCATTGCAAATGTGCGCAAAACTTTGTCGATATTCTGTTAATGTCGAAAAACACAGTTTCGCAACTGCTGTTTTCATTAAGTAAGAAATGTTATTAAAGTCACGTGAATACGTTTGTGCTCGCGATAAGTCATTACAAACATGGAGGCGATGGATGTAAACACATAGCATGTTGCTACCACGACACTAGCGCTCATCATCAGAGGAGACGTCGGCGTCTTTTATCGAGGCTTTCCAGAGACAAGTCCCTACTTGGGAGCGGCTACGTATGCTGTGTTTTTGGGAAATTGTAGTCGGTCAGTTTACTATTTTATACTACTTCTGTGATATTACTACTACTTCTACTTCCTGTTATCTTCTTCATCGTTTTTTTCACCAGTAGAAACAGTCAGTTGTTGATCACATGACACCTGTGATGTGAAAAAAGTGTTTCCATTGCAGTTTTGTGAAAAACACCAATTTAGATACGGCCGAAAAGCCACCTCATCCTAGTGCAAAAACATTTTGTCGAAAAACGTAATTTTTTTTCGAAAATGACGTGTTTCCATTGAGCAATTTTATATTCGAAATTCTAATTTGTGCATTTTTATGGTCAATGGAAACGCAACTAGTAAATTGTCTGGTTTCACAGCTGAAACCCACCTTGGGTTTGATTCCAGTCTCGTGTTTTAGGAATTGGCTGAACCTCGCGGTCTTCTTGGCGATGCTGTGGGGGTTGAAGCGATTGATCTTGTCCATGATGCTCAGAGATTCTGTCTTCTTGTATTTATCAGCTAAAACAAATAAATAAATAAAATACCTAAAAACCTTTTCAGAACTTAAACTGGAAACATTTTTAAATCAGAAAGTGTCTCACCGACTTCTCTGAAGCGTTTGTACTCGTTGATGCGACAGTTCAGGGCGATGGAGGTGTTGGCGGTCTCCTCCAGGAGTTTGTACGCCGGGTGGGTGGGCTCCGTGTGTTTCTGGATGGTCTGCAGGAGGAGGGGGTACCGGGTGATCTGCTGCACCGGCATCACCAAGAAGAAACTCAGAGAGGTGGCGTTGACCTCGGGCCTGAGGAGAGGCAAACAAAGACGTCAGGAGAAAAAAACAAGTAAATAAAACAAAACGTTTTATTGTTATCTGCTGTGGTACTTATCTGTGGAGGACCGAAACTGACATAATTAGAAATAAAAGCAGAAATATAGAAATTAACCAATAAATAAATAAATATACCTAAAAACAAAAGTAAAAAGGTAAGGAGGAAAACACTTCCCTGCGTCTTTGTTTTAAACTTAACTTTAAACTTTAATCTAAACCGAGGCAGCAGCAGCACAGTAGAGCTGCACATGGATCCTGCTCCTTCCTGTCTGTTGACCAAAAGGAGAGGAGCTGACCCAAGAAGCCCCGCCCACTTTATTTACATAATGAGGCAGAAATGCATAAAGTAAAGTAAAAACAGGAGAGAGAAATGTCTAAATAACCAATGGAAATAAAAAAAATAAATACAAACATTTAAGAGACACAAACGCATGAACATGTAAAAGGAAAAATTATTTTAAAAATAGTCAAATGTAAATTCTGTTCTAATTTATTGGAACTAAGCTGGAAAAATAAATAAGGTGAATTAAATGATAAAGCATGAGGTAAAGTTTTCCTGTTTTAATTTAATTGGTGCATTTTAAGTGTATTTATTTATTTATTGGTCCATTTATATATTTCTGCTTTCATTTCTAATTATGACAGCATCGGTCCTCCATACTTTTGTCTAAATGCAACAGGTTTAAACTTACGCTGAGTTCTTAATGATCGTGACGATCTCCGTCCAAAGCGCTTCTTTCTGTTTGTAGCCGTTTTCCACCTCTAAAGTGTTGTTGTAGTTGGCCAAGTATTCCTTGTAGGCTGCTTCAATGTCTGCAGACAGGCTGAGGAATGAGTGGCCTGTCAGGAAAATAAAAACAAAAACAGCTCTTTACATCCAGAAATCATGCATGACATCAAAAAAACAAAACGAAGACGAGTCTCTTACAGATGTTTTTTAAAAACTGCGGGTCTTCGGGATGGACATGTCTCTGGTCCAACAGACCAAGGAGACGGCTGGACACGTCCATCACCTCCTTGATGTAGAGAAACAGACTGTCCAGGTTGGCTGGAGGAGGCTTTGATTAACAAAAAAAACACAACGCATGTGTTAAAACCTGTGACTTCATCATGTACATGACTGCATATGTCACTTTAATTCTGATGCCAATACCGTAAATTGTATCCTGTTACATTTTTATTTCTAATTAGTTTAATAATATCTCTATTTTTATGCTTAATGTTTTTACCAACTGTCTAATTTTGATGTTTTTTTTCTGATGTTTATTGTACCGAGGGTCTGAGAGAGGAACGTAGCTCTGGATGCTTTTGTGTTTTAGTGAAAAACTTTCAATCAGTTCATTTAATTCATCCTCAGACAGAATATATTAGACCAGTCTTTCCCAAAGTTGGGGCCGGGACCCAAAGTGGGGTCCAGAAACATCAAGGTGGGGTCCTGAAAAGATTTTCTGAATTAATGACATTTTTGCCTTAGTTGTTACAAAGGAGTGAGGTTAGTATATTTAAAATGGATAAATGTAGTATAAAAATATTGTTACTATGCCCATGTTTAGTTGACCTGAAAAAAATGTTTATCCTCCAAAAATAGTTGGGGGGCACAGGTCTCTGCTACTGTTATTTTGTGGGTCAAAAGCTGAAAAGTTTTGGAACCAGCGCACTTTGGTTCCCAAAGTTGGGCTTGGGACCCAATTATGGGTCWTGAAGCACCTTGGATAATCTCCAGAAATCAATTTAAAGGGTAATAAAATAATTGCTGATGTAATCTTTTCCCAATAACTATTACAAAAACACAAAATAAGTATAAATAACTATTTATATTTGTGTACAAGCTGTGTAGATTGTCAAAAAGCCTGTGTTTTTAGGGTTATTAACAAAGTTTGTGTATTCAGACCAGTAATATTTGGGTTCACAAGTTTTTGCCATGGATATTTTGTGGGTCAGAAGATAAAAAGTTTGGGAACCACTGTATTAGACCACATGTGTCAAACTCAAGGCCCGTGGGCCAAATGTGGCCTGTCACCGCATTTTATGTGGCCTGCGAGAACTTCAAATAAGCATTTGCTGCTTTAAAGCCAGCACTGACCATAAACTACATCTCCCATAATGCATGTTGATTTATTTACCCACAGAATGAGGAGAACCCACCATTAGGTGGCGCTGCACATGGTTCAAAATGGCAGCTGGCAAATTGTCCGTGTAAAGTACCCAATTCACTGCATTTTCACTGGCTACCAATTTTACTGGGAACTGGGACTTTTCCCACTTACAAGTTGTAAATTTAAACAGGAACACCCCCATCCGTGGGACCTCCCTGTCGGAATGTGAGAGCAACTCTGTCCCAGTTCAGAATTCAATATGGTGACTACTCATCAACAGTGAGTAAAACTATTACTTTTACTGGTATTTCTGTTTTTTTTAATTATTATGTATTTCACATTTAGTCAGTCGTACATGTAGTACTTTTAAGTGTTTATAAAAGTAATAATTAAAACACTGTTTCTGTGCAGGAAATACAGGGCAAGCGTGTCAGACGATTACAAATCCTATTTTTTTGTTACTGTGAGAATTATTACTGGAAAACGTTGTCGTCACCCATCAAATTCATTATTTTGTAAATTGAAAATATTGAAGTTCTTCGATTTGGTTGATTATAATATTCTACTGGTTATGTATAAGGCCCACAAAAACATATTGCCTTTAAACATCCAAGTAAATTTTAAGAGAAAGAGTTGTTACAATCTTAAAGGGACAGAGATATTTGTAAAACCCAAATTCAGTACTAGTTTGAAGGAAAAATGTTTTAATTCAAGGAATAAAACTATGGGATAATTTGGGGAGTGGTGTAAAAAACGCAGGATCGTGTACATTTAATAAAATGAAAAAAGTTGGGTTGTTAAAGAAATATGAAACAGTGTAACGTGTATCTATATCAGGGGTGGGCAATCCTGGTCCTGGGGGGCCACAACCCTGCATGTTTTACTTGTTTCTCTGCTCCAACACACCTGATATGAAGGAACAGATGATCATCAGGCTTCTGCAGTACGGAGGACCAACACTGACATAATTAGAAATAAAAGCAGAATTATATAAATGAACCACTAAATAAATACATTTGAAATGTACCAATTAAAATAACAAAGGAGAACTTTATCTCATGTTTTTTGTTTCAAATGACTTTAATATTTATTTTTCCAGGTTAGTATAAATTAGTCTATATATTTTAACACATAATTTAAATTTGAATGTTTTTTAAAATACATTTTTTGTTTTTCCTTTTACTTCTACATGCATTTGTGTCTCTTAAATGTTTATGCTTAATTATTTTTATATTTTTCCCACAAGTCTTTTTTGTTTCGATGTGTTGCAGGCGTGAGCCTCAGTTTAGCTTAAAGTTTAGTTTAAAACAAAGGCAAGGAGAAAAACGTACTCGTGCCTTTGTTTTTAACTAAACTTTAAACTTTAAGCTAAACTGAGGCAGCACACGCCTGCAACACATCGAAACAAAAAAGACTTGTGGGACAAAACTACAAAAATATTTAAATTTAGACATTTAAGAGACCAATGTATGTACAAGTAAAAGGGAAAACTGAAAAAATATATATTTTAAAAAACAGTCAAATTTGAATTGTTAAAAAAATATAAATTAAACGAGAATTAAATTACAAAACATGAGGTGAAGTTCTTTTTTAATTGAATTGGTGCATTTTAAGTGTATTTATTTATTTAGTGGTTCATTTATATATTTCTGGTTTTATTTATAATTATGTCAGTGTCGGTCCTCCATACTGCAGAACTTAGAAGGTAAATCAGTGACTGTATCAGGTGTGTTGGAGCCAGGAAAAACGTAAAACATGTAGAGCTGCGGCCCTCGAGGACCAGGACCGCCCACCCCTGATCTATATAGATTATTGTTCTAGAGGGATTAGATGTTCTTGTCTTTTGTTTTGTTAATAACAGATTTTTTATATGAACTTATTCTAGAAAAAAGGGGCCGATATAAGATTTTTTTCTTCTCTCTGCTGCCTTTCATTTCATTTTGTGATTTTGATATACACATATATTATTC